TGTCCGTTATGTCATGTCCCCATTTTCATTTCTGATTTTGTTAATTAGCGTGCTCTCTCTCTCTGCCTTTTGGTTAGTTTGGACAAAGGTTTGTCTATCTTGTTGATTTTCTCAAAGAACCAACTCTTTGTTTCGTTGATTCTTTGCAATATTTTCTTGGTTTCTTCTTGATTGATTTCAGCCCTCAATTTGATTATTTCCTGCTGTCTACTCCTCCTGGGTGAGTTTGCTTCTTTTTGTTCTAGAGCATTCAGTTGTGCCATTAATTCTCTAGTGTGACTGTTCTCCAGTTTCTTCATGTGGGAACTTAGTGCTATGAACTTTCCTCTCAGCACTGCTTTCAGAGTATCCCATAAGTTGCTATGTTGTGTCTTCATTCTCATTGAATTCCAGGAAGTCTTTAATTTCTTCCTTTACTCAGGGATGGTGCAATTGTGCATTGCTCAATTTCCATGAGTTTGTAGGGTTTCTGCAATTTGTGTTATTGTTGAATTCTAATTTTAATGCATGGTGATCTGATAAGATACAGTGGATTATTCCAATTTTTTGTATGTGGAGGTTTGCTATGTTTCCGATTATGTGGTTGATTTTAGAGAAGGTTCCATGTGGCGCCAAGAAGAAGGTATATCCCTTTGTGTTTGGATGGAATGTTCTATAGATATCTGGTTTAAACCCAGTTGGGTCATAACTTATATTCTTTTGTTTCTTTGTTAAGTTTCTGTCTGGAGATCATGTCTAGTGGTGAGAGCGGAGTGTTGAAGTCTCCTGCTACTAGTGTATGAGATTTTATGTGCAATTTGTGCTTTAGTAATGTTTCTTTCATGAATGTGGGTGCCTTTGTATTTAAGGCATAGATGTTCAGAATTGAGACTTCCTCTTGATGGACTTTTCCTTTGATGAATATGAAATGTCCTTCTTCATGTCTTTTGGTTGATTTTAATTTAAAGTCTAATTTTTTGGATATTAGGATTGCTACACCAGCTTGCTTCTTGGTTCCGTTTGATTGGAAAATCTTTTCCCAACTCTTTACTCTGAGGTAATGTCTGTCTTTGACGTTAAGATGTGTTTCTTGTATGCAGCAGAACGACGGGTACTGTCTTTGTATCCATTCTGCTTGTCTGTGTCGTTTTATAGGCAAGTTGAGATCGTTGACATTGAGGGATATTAATGACCAGCGATTGATGATTCTTGTTTGATTTATTGGTAGTGGTGTTATCATGTGTAGGTTCTCCTTTTTCTTTTGGTGTTTGATAAAGTGGGATTATCTATTGCCTATGTCTTTGTGAGTGTAGTTATCTTTGTTGGGTCTAGGTTTTCCTTCCAGCACTTTCTGTAGGGCTGGATTCATGGATATGTATTGTTTAAATCTGGCTTTGTTATAGAATATTTTGTTTTCTCCATCTATGGTAATTGAAAGTTTTGCTGGATATAGTAGTCTGGGTTGGCATCCTTGTTCCCTTAGCGTTTATAGGACATCTGTCCAGGATCTTCTGGCTTTCATAGTTTCCATTGAGAAGTCGGGTGTAATTTGGACAGGTCTGCCTTTATATGTTACCTGGCCTTTTTCTTTAGCTGCTCTTAATATTTTCTCTTTATTCTGTAGATTTGATGTTTTATTATGTGGCGAGGGGAACTTCTTTTTCTACTCCAGTCTATTTGGTGTTCTGTAAGATTCTTGTATTTTCATTAGGGACGTTTTCTTCTATGATTTTGTTGAATATGTTTCTGTACCTTTTAGCTGTATTTCTTTGCTTTCTTTATACCTATTATTCTCAGGTTTTGCTTCTTCATGGTGTCCCATATTTCCTGGATATTTTGTGTTAGGGTTTTGTTGGATTTGAGATTTTCTTTGGTTGATGACTGTATATCCTCTAATGAGTCTTCAACACCTGAGATTCTCTCTTCCATCTCTTGTATTCTATTGGTGATATATCTGTAGTTCCTGATCGTTTACCCAGCTTTTCTATTTCCAGCATCCCCTCATTCTCTAGATTCTGGTGGAGTTATGTTGGTCTTTCTATTGCTGAGTGAGTTCTTACTCTGTCTTCTTCCCATCTCTTCTGTCTCCACTGGTCTCCCTTCCTGAAGCTGAAGCTGGGCACGCCCGAGGGTGGGGTCTAAAAGGGCTTATGTCTTTCCTGTGTGGGTGGGTTCTCTTGATGCCAGGAGTGTCCCCCAGAAAATTGAGGGAGTGGGTGGTGAGGAGGGGCGGGGTCCCAGGAGGACCCAAGCTCACCTGAAGCTGGGAACCCCAGAGAGTAGGGTCTGGAAGGACTGATGCTTTTCCTGTTTGGGCAAGTTTTCTCAATGCCCTTAGAAGATTAAGGGAGTGGGTGGTGGGCAGGGGAGGGGTCCCAGGAGGACCCAAGCTCACCTGAAGCTGGGAACCCCAGAGGGTGGGATCTGGAAGGACTGATGCCTTTCCTGTGTGGGCAAGTCTTTTCAATGCCCCCGGAAGATTAAGGGAGTGGGTGGTAGGCAGGGGAGGGGGTCCCAGGAAGACCCAAGGTCACCTGAGGCTGGGCACGCAGGTGTGGGAAGAGCTGCAGGTTGGGTCTGTGAGGACTGATGCCTTTCCTGTGTGGGCAGGTCCTCTCAATGCCTGGAGCAGCCTCTGGAAGATTGTGGGAGTGGGTGATGGGTGGGGGAGGGGTCCCAGAAGGACCCAAGCTCACCTGAAGCTGGAACAATGCAAGTTGCCTCGAGGATTCTGCCTGCTGGTGAGCAAGTAGACTATGGCTTACAGCTAAGGGGGGGGTTCTGTTTAAAGGGAAAATCCACAAGACTGAAAATTTTGAGATTACAAAGCTTCCGTGGTTACATAGGACAAAACAATAACTGTATGTTTAGGCCTGACACAATTAAGCAGGATATTGTAGGGGAAATAAGTTTGTTAATTATCTCCTGGGCCAGGGATTTTTACAACCTCGAGTTGATGGCTGTCTGGTCTTCTTTAGGACAGAGAAATGCTGCCACAGCTGGAGTGTGTTATCTGGTCTCAGGCCTCTAGTCAAGTACCAACTTCTTTGTTTAGTGTTATCTGTCGGGTTGCCTTTTGGGAGCTCAGAGGAGCTTGAAAGTTTTTAATTTTCCTATATGGACTTTGGAGTCTAAGTTTTTAGACTTGTATTAATTTTTCCTATTTCAACATAGAAGACAACACTCTGGGTGTGTCTGTGAGGCTGTTACTGGAGATGGGAAGACCTTCCCTAAATGCAGGTGACACCCTTCCCTGGGCTAGTCCTTTCCTGCCACGATGTTTTGTATCCTGTCCCCCACAAAACTGTAAGTTAAAATAACCCCTCTTTCTGTACGTTGCTTTTCTCAGGAATTTTGTCACAATAAGAAGAAAAATAACTAACAAACACTGGGCCTACCAATCCGGCTCTTCACCAGACTGAGCCCTTGCTGTGGCTGGTGATGTGGCTTGGTGGTACAGTGCTTGCCAGGCACGCACCAAGTATTAGATTTCTAGTTTTAAAAAAACCTTTAGAGAAGAGTACCCAATTAATTCTCATCTAGTATAGATACTACACTACACTATATTTAGCACAATCCACCAGGCTTCCTATTGCCAAGACCAAAACAGCACTACTAAAAGCATCTTGGGAAGGAAGGGGTTTATTCCATCCTACAACTTTCACGTCACACTCCACTACCGAGGAAAGCCAGGGCAGGAACCTCAAGGCAAGCAGAAGCCCTGGAGGAAACTTTACTGACAGGCTCACCCTGCTTTCATTTACAAAACCGAACCACCTGCCCAGGGGTAGTACCGCCCACATTTGGCTGAGCCCTCCCTCATCTATCCAGTCAAGAAAACGTCCCACAGACCTGCCTGCTGCAGGCATTTTCTCTATCGAGGTTCCCTCTCCGCAGATGACTCTAGCTAATGTCAAGTTGACAAAACTCTAAATAGCACTCTGTGTACCAGAAAAGTTAATGTGTCTAGGGAGATAAAACAGGTGCACACTCGCTCAAGTTAGTCCCAGGAAGTTAATGGGGACTTGAAGCTTTAGAATTAACGATAAAACTGTCATGGTCAAGATAGGCAAGTCGTCCACTTGACACCTGAATTGAGGACGTCAGACACGTTAGGTAAACGCTCTCCCAAGGAGGTACGCCTGCCACAGCTCCTACGCTTTTGTGCCCCTCAAAGGGGCTTGAAACAAACGGAACCATTAAAGTCCGGTTTCCCGCCGGGCGGAGGTGGTACACGCCTTTAAGCGACTGGCATAGCTCCTTCTCCCGGGGCGTTTCCTTGGAAACTCCCGCCACCATTCTGCACATCCTCCTTAAACATGCACCTTCCTGATCGTCCTGTACGCCGTTTCTCCCCTGCTTACTAAAGGCGGGACAGAATACTTTATCTAAAAATACTGGCCGATCAAACAATACAAAATTCGGTCCCGGGAGACTCTGCAAGCTTAGTGCTCATTACGGAGCCCCTCCCAGGGACGCGGGGGCTAGGTGTCACCGCAAGCCCCGCCCTCCCCGCCACTCTTTGAACCGGCAAACTTCTCAGGTTCTCAGTTAATCAATGCCTATCGCCTCCCTCCGTGCCTTTTCCAATCGGGAAAGTCTCAGTTCCGGTTTCCGGCAAAATGGTTTCGACTAGGCCCCCCTAGCCACGCCCCTTTCACTCACGTTTCCAGGACGAACCGGAAAAGATTGCGCAGGCCTCTCGCTCGCAACCCGGAAGTAGATGTATCTCACGGAAGCCGGCTTTGGCCCTGCGGCTCCTCCTGTCGCCGCGGAGAAATTGTTGGAGCTGGCAGCCTAGGAATGGTGAGGCCTCGCGGTTCGTCTCCTCGTGTTCTGAGTAGAGATGGGGGTGAAATGGAGTTTCGCAATGTGCCGCGGGGCACAAACCCCCTCCCCAACCAGCGAGACTCGGGGCCCCGCCCCGGTTTCGCCCCGAAAACACTGCGCATGCGTAAGTCGCACCGGGCTGGAATCTGGCCTGCGGCGTTACGCATGCGCAAATGTGGCATGCTTGAGGTGGGCTGAGACTCGCTGGGGGTTGATCCTGGTTCGCTGTCACCAGCCCGTGGGGCTCAGAGCCAGACTGCGGGCGCATCGTGGTTTACCGGTGCAATGCTAGGAGTTGCAGAGCTGACTAAATTGCCACTCCTCCCCAGAGTCCCCGAAACAGACGTGGACTGATCCCTCACCTTGGGTGGGCTCTCGCGGGAGGAGGGACGGAGGGACGGGAAGGAAGGCAAGAAACTCGGCCTCAGTTGCTTGTGGCACTGGGCACCTTCACCCTCTCCGGTGGTGCCCGCCTTTCTCAGCCGTAACCTACAGAGCAGAGCAAGGAGCGGCCTCAGGGACAGAGCCGGAATTTGGCTCTGGGAGACCCCCGAGTCCGAAGTGGCGGGGTCTGCAGACGGAGCCCTCCAGGAAGTCTGTACCTGAGTACAGTGGGTTACAAGCGGGTCTCCCAAGGCGGTGGGTATTCACATAGTTCCCAAGCCACTTTTTTTTAACTTAGAAAGAATCGTTTTACATATTAATCCCCCTGTCCCCTCTCCCTCCCATGCCCCCTACCAGCCCCCCAACCCGCCCGCTCCCCAAGGACGGTGAGGCCTTCATCCAAGTCTGTCACATCATTTGGGGGAGGGTCTAGGCCCTCCGCCGTGTATCTGGGCTGCAATAGTAACCCTCCATAGGGAATGGGCTCCCGAAGTCCATTTGTGCACTAGGGATAAACACCGGCTCCACTGTTAGAGGTCCCATAGACTGCCCAGGCCTCCTAGCTGGCTCCTACATTCAGAGGGCGACACCACTTTTTTTAATCTTCAGAAGGTACCACCCACTTACTTATAAGCTGCAAATGGAAGCGGGGGACAGGTGTGGTGAGACACTGGGATTCTCTCCCCTCCCCAGCTGCGGCCTGGGAGAGGGTAGGCGCTGGCGATGTGAGTGGGTAGCTGAAGGAAAAAGGAAGCCAGGAAGCCCTTGGCTCTTTCTGCTTAACACTCAAGATGCTTCGTTTGGGACTTGCTGGTAAAACTAGCCAGGTCTACACCTTTTGTCATAGTCTCCAAAGTCTCAGGGACTTCCACATAGCAACTTATATTTTTGTTTTTATATTACATATCCCTGGCTTGCTGGGTGGGTCAGGCTGGCCTCAAACTCGACAGGGATCCACCTGCCTCTGCCTCCCGGTACTGGGATTAAAGGTAGGAGTCATTACATCAGGGAGTAGCTACTGATTGCTCAGTGTAACTAAGAGGGGGCTTTGTGCCTCTCTCCACTGCATATGTCCTCCCTGCCTTAGGAGACAGGGACATGATCGAGTATAAGCAGGTGGAAAGTAGGTTTGGTCCGTTGGAGACCTGAGCCTGAGGGAGCCCTGTTTCTCCTTCGCAGACTCTCTCCTCGGCATCTGAGCTCACTTGGTCAGAAACCTTGGATGAACCCGTGGGACCCTTCCTCCTAGCCCTGTGGTTTGGAGCCAGTGGCTTTGGGACTGTGAGAGGATGGACAAAGGTAGTGTGAGGCCACGCCCTCTCCCCAGATGCACCAAGCATCTGGTGACTTTCCCCGCCTTGCACAAGTGTCTTTTCTGCCACCTCCCCACCCTCCACCCCCCCCCCCCCCAGGGATCGGTACCACCATGCCCCTCTCAGCAGAACCACAGTGACTAACTTGCTGTTGAGCTGCTGCTCTGGGCACACTGCATTTTGGTGGCAGAGGGAACAGTTATGCCCAGAGCCCGGTGTGTCGGCATGGCCAGTCTGACCTGAGCACCATGTGCTGCACGACATGGCACGTGGCACCTGAGCCCAGATGGGATCTGGATGGCCAAGGAACTCCCACCTTAAAAACCTCAAGCTGGGGCCGGGCAGTGGTGTCGCATGCCTTTAATCCCAGCACTCGGGAGGCAGAGGCAGGTGGATCTCTGTGAGTTTGAGGCCGGGCTGGACCGATAGCCTCCGAAACAACACAGAGAAACCCTGTCTCGTAAAAACCAAAAAAAAAAAAAAAAAAAAAAAAGACCTCAAGCTGAAAAAGGAGTCCCATGTGCAGAGGGCACTTGGGAAGCCTGAGTTCACCATTTCTCTTTTTTTAGATTCCCAGGGGCTGCTAGATTCAACCCTGATGGCATCAGGCACTGCTAGCCGTTCAGAGGATGAAGAGTCACTGGCAGGACAGAAGCGAGCTTCGTCTCAGGCTCTGGGTACTATCCCTAAACGCAGAAGCTCTTCCAGGTAATCAGGTTTCACAGGAACTGGGAAGGGGTAGGCTTGTGGGATGAGGTACCGCATGCCTTAACCTCTGTTGCAAATGGCCGTGTGAGCCTGCCTGGCGTCCAAACAGCCTGAGCTTTTCCCTACTGACCCCTCCTCATGGCAGTCACATTCTGTGGCCTGTCATCTCAGGACTAGCATTTGTTTATTCCCTGTCCACTGGGCCAGGCACTGGTGGAAAGTGAAGGCAACTGGGCAGTTAGCTCCCGCTGGGAGCCTGCTCTTTGAGGTTGAGGGGAGGTGGTGCCAGTGGCTAACAGCGAAGGACCTCCTACAGGTTCATCAAACGGAAAAAATTTGATGATGAGCTGGTAGAGAGCAGCCTGGCCAAATCCTCTACCCGGGTGAAGGGGACCAGTGGAGTGGAATCGGGCCGCTGCTCAGGGAGTGAGCCCTCCTCTAGTGAGAAGAAGAAGGTGAGGAGCTGGTCCATCATGGGCCGAGCGTGCGGAGGTGTGTGTCTCCCCAGATGCATGAGGCTGCCCTGCCCCCCTCTAGACCCCTCCCTCCTGTCTTTCCCTCCTCCCTGCTTGCTGCACTCCACACTCTGCCAGTGCATCCTGTATCACATTCGGTGTGGGAGGCAGAGAGCATGTATCTATTCTGGGAGCAGACAGCTTGTTCCCAGCATTGCGGGGTGTAAAAATAACCCCCAGGTGGCATTGCTCTGGCCCCAGACAGTGCACCAGCAAGAGTAGTTCCCTGGTATCCTCCCCACCCACCCTCCATTCTCGACTCGAGGGTACCACAAGCAGAGAGAAGACCCCATCTGGTCAAGAATTATGTAGAAGTAATTTGGTGGGGGTGGGTATTGGAAAGCTAAGCTCTCAGCTTGGCTCCCTGGTGTTGCCTGAGCTTGCAGCTGTCACGGTATGTGAAGCAGTAGGTTTGAAACCCCAGCTTTTCTGACACCAGCTTTGAGTTCATTGTGGTCCTGTTCTGTATCCAGGTATCCAAGGCCCCTAGTACTCCTGTGCCACCCAGCCCTGCCCCAACCCCTGGACTCACTAAGCGTGTGAAGAAAAGCAAACAGCCACTTCAGGTGACCAAGGATCTGGGCCGATGGAAGCCTGCAGATGACCTCCTTCTCATCAATGCTGTGTTGCAGGTAGTTCACCCACCATGGGACTGGGGCTCCCTTCTCTCCTACCCTCCAAGTCCCAACCCCCATACTAGCTTAGTAGCACCCTATAGCTTCCAAGGGAAGGATTCTTCCTATTGCTGAGGCTGGAGCAAACCAGTCTGGGTCTTGCAGACCAATGACCTGACATCCGTCCACCTGGGTGTGAAGTTCAGCTGCCGCTTTACCCTGCGGGAAGTTCAAGAGCGTTGGTACGCCCTGCTCTACGACCCTGTCATCTCCAAGTGAGTGGGCTGGCTTAAGTGGGGGGGCTATTGGGGACCACCCAAATTTGGAACTAGGTATAGGAGAGCCAGACTCTTTCGGGGCCAAAGGAAGGGCTTAGGAGGCAGGGCTGGGTACCTTGCATCCTATGGGATCATTGGGAACCTGCCAGGTTTTAAAGATAAGCTCCTTCCTCTTGCTCCTTCTAGTCCTGGATGGAGGGAGAGAAGCAGCAGAGTCTACTAGAGAAGAAGGCAGCGTAGGAAGCAAATGCCCACAAGTTCCAGGAACCCCAGGTCCACCAGTGTCACCTCTCAACTTTTCCACACCAGCCTCTCACAGTTCTTACATGAAGAGGGAACTGAGCCCTCAGTGCTTGGGAGGCAGAGGCAGGTGGATCTCTGAGTTCAAGGCCAACCTGGTCTACAGAGTGAGTTCCAGGACAGTCAGAGCTACAGAGAAACCCTGTCTTGAGAAACAGAGAGAGAGGTGGTGGGGAGGAGAGGAGAGCTGAAACAAAAGAGCCCCAAGACTTGTCTAGTTTTAGCAGAGTTTCAAATAAGCTCATGTACATAGGCAGCATACTCCTCCTCAGTCACTTAATTCAGTGTCCTCAATGCTTGGTTTGATGCTGGACGCCATCTTCTACTCCTACACAGTCCTGCCATCCTCCCACTTAAGCTGTAGCCATCGCCCAGAGACACCAGAAAACAAGCTGGCCTCCGCACGGAAAAAGGAGGCAATAGGCAGTGCTTAATGAGTGTCAGTGTTTGCTGGCTGGACAGGAAAGAGAGTTGCAGCAGGTTCTGAGAGATCTCAGAGCCAGGCCCCCCAGACCTTTCTTGTTCGCTTGTTTTGAGCCCAGGTCTTACAATATCTACCTTGCTGATTTGAAGCTTGCTGTATAACCCAGACTGGCCTTGAACTTTGAGTGGCCCTCCTTCCTCCATCTCCTGCAGGCTGGAGCTACAGGCATGTGCCACCACACTTGGGTCTTTAGAGAGTATGGCTTCATCTAGAGAATTGCCTCTTGATTCATTGGACCATGTCCTGGTGCTATACTAAAGCCTCAGGTTATTTCTACCAAGGACCTCTAGGCTTGGGATCTCTAAGTCCCAAAGGCTTATAGGTTTAGGGGGAGTAAGAACCCCAGGTTACTTGACTCCCTCTGTTCAGCTCTGCCCCTTATTCCTTTCCATGCTCAGGCTGGCTTGCCAGGCCATGAGGCAGTTGCACCCAGAAGCAATTGCAGCCATTCAGAGCAAGGCCCTGTTCAGCAAGGCTGAGGAGCAGCTACTGAGCAAAGTAGGATCGGTAAGGTTGAGGACGGGGACAGGATACAGGCTGAATCCTTGGAAAAGCACAGTGTGGGGAGGCCTGCCCGCCCCGTCTATGGTCTGCATACATGCAGATGAACACATCTGCAGGGACCTTTGTGGTGGGTCTTGGGAGAAACTAAGCCTGGCACCCTGGGTGATGTTTGCTTCTTCGAGGTCCTTAACAGGGCTTAGGGACAGAGATGGGGTGGGAATGAGAAAACCCTGGCTTGAAGAGCATATTTCTTGTTCCCAGACCAGCCAGCCCACCTTGGAAACCTTCCAGGACTTGCTGCACAGACACCCTGATGCCTTCTACCTGACCCGTACTGCTAAGGCTCTGCAGGCCCACTGGCAGCTCATGAGACAGTATTACTTACTCGAGGACCAGACAGGTAACACCCCAGCAGCTGCAGCGTGAGCAGCCAGGTGTTGAGGAGTGAGAACATGTGTGAGAGTCCTCAGCAGCCCCTAGTGTCCTCTTCACCTCAGTTTGCAAAAAAAAAAAAAACACAGCAGCAACAAAATTTGCTTCTTGTAGAGCTGTCAGGGCCTTTGGCACTGTGGGAAGGGAAGCCAGCTTGCCTGGTATCCTGGGCCAAAGGTCCTAACGGTAGTTATTCCTACTTCTTGTTTCAGGGTCTTTTGTTCTATTTCTTGACATAGTTTGCCATCACATACACAATACATTAGTATATTACTTATAGGTAGCGTTAAAACTGTAGCGAACTGGGCATGTCCGTCTTTAGTCACTCTTCCCATGTTTCTCACCCCAGAGATACTAACTACCTTAGAAGTTGCCCTATCACCATTCTGTGTCCTCCATTCGTGGGCCAGGGAGTCTGTGTTGTCAGGTAGCTTAGGCCAGGACTCCCCAGTGGAACTTCATATCTAGGCCCCCGTCTTTTTCTTCCCTGACGGCTGGAGTGCCTTCTGCCACCCCCTCATCACCGAGCTCCCCTTCTCTGGAGGCCAAGTGCTCGGAAAGCCATCTGGTTAGGATGCAGGAAACTGCAGGAGGACTGGTGACCGAGGTTCTGGCGTCAGTGGTTTAGGCATACTCTTGGTGTCGAATCCACTGCCTGCTGCATGGTGCACCACACCGCCATAACTCTTCACACTCTGGAAGTAAGGCCCTTCGCTGCGTTAGTGGGCTCCTGGGTGTTCCAAAAGATCGCCCCCTGCCGAATCGTAGGAGATCTGTCCTACAGATTAGTGGTCCAGGGGCTGGCTGCTTTACCCATCACTGAGTCCTCCCAGAGAACATTTGCTAGGTCACATTTAGTTTAACTATTTTAAAGCCAGCTTGTCTTTTTTTGAGGGGGGTTAGGGTCAACACAGGGTCAGACAGCCTTGGCTGTCCTGGAACTCTGAGACCAGGTTGGTCTCAAACTCACAGAGATCGGCCTGCCTCTGCCTCCCCAGTGCTGGGATTAAAGGTGTGCGCCACCACCTGGCTTTTTTTGTTTGTTTGTTTGGTTGGTTTTTTGTCTTGATTTTCTACAGTCCAGGCTGACCTCCTGCCTCCATCTCCCAAGAAATGGAATTCTAGGGTTGTGCCACCATATCCTGCTTCTTTGTCATCATTTTAGGAATCATTCTGGTCACTGAAAGCCTTATCTTAAAGGTTATATAATTTTTTTCCTCCAAGAGTCTCTGTGTGGGAATTTGTTTCTTGTTGCTTAGAGCCCAGTGTCCCAAGGATCAGACGGTTTCCTTGGCTTAGTTTCCAGCAGGTTAGTCACACATTGGGAGTCATGGATATCAGGCAGACCTGATGAAGGCAGCTTGGTGGCAGTGACCAGCAAGCCCGCTCCTCTGTCTCCAGTCTCTTGCCTCCTGTGCAGCCCTCCCACCCCCCAGGCTGGCAGCCGCAAGCTGCCCTACTGCAGAGGACCACAGTAGTCTTGGCACAGGTGGCCAGAAATCCAAGTTCTTATAGTCTGGGCACCTTGGTTTCTTTCATTCTCACCAGAAATAGTTGAAAACTTCCATGAAACAGTATTTTTCCAGAATATATTTGGTGGGTTCTAGTATTAATTATCCTGCTCGGTTTTATCTTTTAAAAGCAATAAAGTTAATTCCGTGTCCCATAAGGAGGTCATTCCCACAGACTGCAGTGAAGCAGCTCTCGGCCTGTGCTTTCCAATGGTGTGCATGCCGCTTGGGGGCCCAAAGGCTGAGGAGCCGCTTGACTCCTGGCTGTGCCCAACTAGGGTCAGAGCTTCATCTGCTGATCCGCTGTCTGGTATCTGTTCCCTCACATGTACCCGGAGCTGAGTAGTCCTCCCCTGCTTAGTTTGAGGCTTTAGGAGTAAGCCTGCCATGTACCAGAAGCCCATGCAGATCAGTTCCCTCGTCTTGAACCACCTCTGGCAGGATGCGTTATGTCAAGTCAAGAGTGCCCCCGGCTTGGGACTGTGCTCTCTCTGTGACTCTGACTCCAGAAGTCTCTGTCCTTGCAGCCTGGCCACTCAGCTCATCTGGCTGTTGGGCATCGGGGCTGGAATAGAGACCTGCACATTTATACTTTCTCTATTGTTCGTTCAGTGCAGCCACTGCCCAAGGGGGACCAAGTGCTGAACTTCTCTGATGCTGAGGACCTGATTGACGACAGTAAGCTCAAGTGAGTTCCCGGAGAGGGTCGACTCCAATTTGTTGGGCATCCCAGGCTGCCCAGCAGACATAGCTTCAGGTGCAGCTGCTGGGCTAGCCACCCTGCTGTACCCTCTCCTTTGGGGGCCGCTTAAGCTCACTGCCTTCCCCTTCTCCCCACGCCAGTCCCAGGGCTAGGCCAGGCCTTAGACGACTTCCTGAGCCCTTTGGCTGAAGAGCCTGGGGTGCCCTAGTGGGTCAGGTAGTGGAGCCTGATAGTGGGCCTGATTCCTCCTTTCACCACTCAGGGACATGCGAGATGAAGTTCTGGAGCATGGTAAGTCTACCCTGCCGGGGACAGTGTGGGAACAGGAGCTCTTGCTGAAATGGAGGGGACCAGTTCAAGGTGCTAGTGGCATCAAAGTGTCCCTTCTTACCACTTAACCTCACCTCAGAGCTGACGGTGGCTGACCGGCGCCAGAAACGAGAGATCCGGCAGCTGGAACAGGAATTGCATAAGTGGCAGGTGCTAGTGGACAGCATCACAGGTGAGGAGGCTCAGGGACCAGGGGTATGCTCTGGCGTCCATTGTCCCATCAGGCCCCTCTTCTTGCCTCTTTGGGTGTGCTGATTGCCAGACCTCTCTCTCCCTGCCTGTCTCCCCACCCCAACACCGGGCTGGGCCGTTCCTGCTTTGCTGACCCTGCTCTTCTCTCAGGCATGAGCTCTCCAGACTTCGACAACCAGACCCTGGCAGTGTTGCGGGGCCGCATGGTGCGGTACCTAATGCGCTCTCGTGAGGTGAGACAGACTGGCACTGTTCCCACCCTGCCTAGGCTCCTCCTCCGTCGTCCTTTTCTCTGCCCAGTCCTTGTTTTCTCATCTTTCCCTACCCTGTGGGGGGCTCCTTTCCCTACTTCCCTACCCGAGCCCTCACCTCCCCCATCTCCCCAGATCACCCTGGGCAGAGCAACCAAGGACAACCAGATCGATGTGGACCTGTCTCTAGAAGGTCCAGCTTGGAAGATCTCCCGAAAGCAAGGTATACACTCCTGCCACTCTAGCAGGGAACAGTGTGGGGACATCGTCCCAGCCTCTCACTGGCTTCCATCCCTGGGCCGTGCTTAGGGAGCCCTCATGAACTAGTGAGGCCGGCCAAAGTAGTTGGTGCTTTGAGAGCCCTACCCAGGGGTCTCAAGCACTTTTGAGCCCTCATCCCCAGGAAGCAGAGAGGCACTTGCTCTCCCCTGGTTGTTTCCATGTTATCATCACTTTTCCTCTCTTCCTCTACAGGTGTTATCAAGCTGAAAAACAATGGTGACTTCTTCATTGCCAATGAGGGCCGGCGGCCCATCTATATTGATGGCCGGCCTGTACTATGTGGCTCCAAGTGGCGGCTTAGCAACAACTCTGTGGTGGAAGTGAGTTGGGGGTGGAGAACGCTAGGGTATATAGTGCTAAGTTTTACTCTTTGGCCTCTTTTAGGGGGGTTGCCACCCAGCTCCCAAATAGATCACACTTGGAGGCTTATCTTAGTTAATGAGTGCCCAGCCTTAGCTTGGCTTATATCCAGCCAGCGTTCCTTATCTTAATCTGTCTGCATTTTCCCTCTGGGCTCTTATCTTTCTTACTTCGGTGTAGCTTGCTTTCCTTCCTGATTCATGGCTGGGTCTCTGGCCCCCGACGCTCTCTCCTTGTTCTCTTGCTGCTCCCCCTCTTCCTCCGTTCTCCTTCTATTTATCCTCTCTGCCTGCCAGCCCCACCTCCTGCCCTTGCTATTGGCCGTTCAGCTCTTTATCAGGATCAACAGATGCTTTAGATAGGAATAGTAACAACTTCATAGAGTTACACAAATGCAGCATAAACAAAAGTCACACACCTTAAAATAATATTCTACCACAAGGGTGTGTCACCTAGTGCATGACAAACTAGTCCATGGATATCCTGTCCTACCTGTGTACTGAGACATCTTCTCTCCTGCCCAGATCGCCAGCCTACGATTTGTCTTCCTCATCAACCAGGACCTCATTGCCCTCATCCGGGCTGAGGCTGCCAAGATCACACCACAGTGAGGCGGGTAGCAGAAACCAGGGCATTCTTTGGCTTCAGTTTCCCCTGTCATTCCAGCTCCCTTGAGCTGGGAACTCAGGCTCCTGGAAAACACTTCTGCCCAGAGTGGGTAGTGGAGGCCCAACTGCTGGCCCATTGATTTGAGCCTTTGAAGCAAGGTGGGATCACCATGGGGAAGCCAGGAGAGGCTGGGACCCCTGCGCCTCCCCAGAGCCAGAGTCCCACCATTGCCACATCACTCCTGTATCTCCAGGGGATCAGCTTTAGTCGCCCCCCCCTTTTTGCTTTTCTTTTTGTAAATAAAAAGCACCAAGTTCCAAAGTAGTTTCTTTTATTTTTTATGTTTTTTAATATAAAAAACATGAGGACAGGTAGAGACGGGCACATGCAAGGAATGGCAGAACCCTCCTTGTCCTCAGGCCTCTGCCCCCATCTGGCGGAGGGGGGACAAGCAGGTCAGTGGAGCAGAACCTGTGGACCCCTAGTTTGGGGCCTGCCTGAGGCACCAGCTCACCCTCTGAAGCTAGGCTAAGCCTCTTCTTTCCCAGGCTCCCTGCCCTGAGCCAGCGGCAGTGCACAGCTGCGAGGCCAGGCAGAGCAGCAGATGGTGCAGGTTTGCAGTACTGACCTCCCGCCAGCAGTCAGACCCCTGTGCCTTCTTCCTGGGTCCACTGGACTGTGCCAGGACCATGGCAGCCAATGAGCACCATCTCTAGGCTGTGGGGATCCCAGGGCAAGGCCCGGCTCCCTGACCCCGGAGGGGGCTCTCCAGTACTGGTAGCCTCAGCCTGGCTCACAGGTGCTGGGGTCCCAGTCCTAGCTCCTTCCTCAGAAGGAGGGGGTGATGCTGGGGTACTTGGCTCAGAGCAGAGATCTCCAGAGCCAGGGGGCTCTGAGTCTGAGGTGGAGGTCCATAAAGCTGTGGCTCGAGGCCAAGGGGAGCTCTGAGATGCTGGGGGACCCCAGGGCCAGGGTGCCATGAGGGGAGAGGGGTGCCCTGGACGAGGGTGAGGCCAGGTCCCACTCAAGACAGAACCTGCTGGGGGCTGCAGGCAGTAGGAGGATGCCCCAGTGTCCACACACAGCGGCTGTAGGAGCCCAGAGACAGTAGCTGGGCATGGCCCCTCTCCAGATGCCCGGGGACACTGGCCTTCCCCTTGGGGCACCAGGATGAGTTGCACAGCCTGGCGAAGTGACTGAAGTCCCTCTCGCATCTGCAGCACCTGTTCAGACAGCTCCATCACCTTGGGGTGTGGAGGTCACAAGGTCAATGGGCCAGCCATCTCAGCAGGGCCTGCTCGTCCCTCCCTGCTCCCATCTCCTCCACCCACCGCCTGCCGCAGCTTGTCCAGTGTGTCTGTGTTCCTGGCTTCACTGGGCCCCAGGGGGACGGTGAGCAGGCCACTCTCAGTGGAAAGGATGGGGTTATCAGCCAGAGCTGCTAAAAGAGACAGATTAGGATCCAGGCCCAGCCTCTCAGAACACTGGCCTCGCTCGCCCAGTGGCCTTCCTGCCTTAGTCACGTTGCTAAATTTTGCCTAAACTGTTAGCAACATGAAAACGCATCCCAGCAGCCCTGAGTAACACGGTTCCGTGTTCTCCCTGCAGGCAGTTGTCCCTCCATGGGACAGATGAGACAGAGTCTCATAGCTAGCCCATGGTGCTCTCAGATCTACCTAACAGCCAAGGCTGGTCTTGACCTGTCTGCCTCTACCTCCCTAGTGCTGGCATTATAGGCACACGCCACCATGTCTAGCTGGAAGTTGTTCTTGGTATCTGTCCCTCATTCTGACCTAGAATATGTGCTGTCAGTCTTCACTTTCCAGGCTGCCTGCCTGTCTTTCCAGCTCTCTCCTCCCAGTCAGGACGACGTGTGCTAAGGGCATCAAGGATATTCTCTAATGTGCACAACAACCCATTTTATAGATAGGAAGTGGACCAAGATGCTAAACTTATACAGTTAGAGCCAGCAGGGCAGGTATCCGAGTCTGCATTCCAATCATCCTGAGCCCGAGAAGGCATCCAGACAGGCTGCCCCTGCCAGCTCCTCTACCACCAGGCTCAGACACCACAGTGATTGAGGTCTGTAAGGAAAAGGGTATTCCCATCAACACTCTCTGCCCCCTGGCCCAGTACCTGGTCCCGGAGAGGGGCTGCTGCTACATTCTGGGCCAGACTGACCCACTCGGAAAGAGAACTTGTGCTGGTCAGAGCCACAGCCATCCTCAATGCCATCTACGACCCTGTGTACCCAACAAATAAACAAATCAGATGAGAGGCAGCCACTGTGGCGTCTGGATGGAATGTTCCAGTGAGCACATGTGTCAGCTGCAGAAGCTCAGGGCTGTGCGGGGAACTGGACATCCTAAGAAGCTAGCACAGTCCTTCTCCTGGGAACTTGTGTTTTAGCTGAAGAGCAAGTTGGAGAACAAAAACAGCAAGAGTTCAGGTCAGCCTCCTGCTAAATGGGTAGTGGCACTGCAGGAATCAGGAAGGGCTTCTTGGAGGAGGCAGGTTTGGACCATGAAGGCTGAGTAGGTTAAGATGGAAGGATGGGGGCTGGAGATGCCTCTCAGAAGTTAAGACTGTTTCAGTCTTGCAGAGAACTCACATAGAGCTCACAATCACCTGGAACTGCAGCTCCAGGGGACCCAATGCCCTCTTCTGGCCTCCTGTGCACAGTCCCCTGTCCCATTCCATTATAGATGAAGTCCTTTTTAAAAATACAAAGCCAAGCATGGTGCACATATGTAATCTCAGAACTCAGGAGACAGAGGCAGGAGGGTCACATGGAGGGCAACCTGGATTACATAATCTCAAAAATAAAAATGGCTAGGGCTGGAGAGATGGCTCAGAGGTTAAGAGCACTGGCTGCTCTTCCAGAGGTCCCGAGTTCAATTCCCAGCAACCACACAATGGCTCACAACCATCTGTCATGAGATCTGGTGCCCTCTTCTGGTGTGCAGACATACATGGAAGCAAGATGTTGTATTCATAATAAATAAATCTTTTTAAAAATTAGTAAAAATGGCTAATATTCAGGATGGGGTGTGGCGGGGTGTGCCTCTGTCCTATCACCACAGCCCTGCCATGAAGTCCAGGGCCTGCTCACCTGGGACTCAGGTCTGGGGGTACATTCCATGGCATTGGAGGTAGCCGCAGCCCATCTAGGGTCCTTGGGTGAGCAGAGGGGCCAGCTTCAGGCTTCAAAACCCCTGCCCTACTTGGCCGCCCTCTGCCACCTAGCCGTGGCCGGGGTGCAGTTCGACGCGGGGACAGTAGTTTGGCGGCTGAGGAGGAGGAGGTGCAACCAGGTGACAGCAGAGGACTGGAGGGCTCATCTGCTGGGGCTGGTGAGACTGTGTGTCCCTGCTCCCCGTCTGTCTCCTTCTCCTCCAGTGTGGACATGAGGGTGTTGTCACCACTCAGGGAGCTGGTATCCACCTGGGGACAGAGGGGAACAGGGGTTCAGCATGGATGGACACTGCTGTGTGTCACTCACCTCCTCTACCAAGGCACAGACAGAAAAGATAACCCAGGAAGAGGAAAATGCTGCCCTGGTGGAAGGAAGGACCCGCTGCCATGATGAAATCACCACGCCCTGGAGGAAATCACCCCCCAAATCCCACCCAAATGTGGATATAGCAACCCTTTCCCTGCCCTTCAGACTAACAGGACCACAGTGTGGGCTAGAGATAATCCAGGGGACCCCGAGGCCTCTGTAGTGGTTCCAACAAGAGATGTGACCCTTTCACCTCACCCTCTCTACTGCCTGCCTGTGGTAAGGACGAGAGCCCTCAGCTTCTGGCTCCTACTGTCATGGCTGCTGCCGAGTCATCCCTCAGGAACCTTGAGCCTTCCTTCTGGAAGTTGCCCTGGTCATGTTTTATTAACAGGAAAGTAACTAATACACCCATCAGGACATGCTACTTAACAGTGAAGAGACAAGGGCCTCAGGGTTGACGCCAGTCTCTGACCGCCCCTCCCTCTGCAGCCCAGCAACTGCGTGTGGATCCCTTTGCTGTAGGTTTTGGTCAGAGCCCAGGATATCGGGGAGGACTAAGCTGTACTGGCTTGGTTTTTTGTTTGTTTGGTTAGTTTTGTTTGTTTGTTTGTTTGTTAAGACAGGGTCTCTATTGTGTAGTCCTGGCTGTCCTGGAACTTACTTTATAGACCTGGTTGGCCTTGATCTCACAAAGATTCACCTGTCTCTGCCTTCTGAGTACTGGAATTAAAGAACTGTGCCACTGTTCCCTGGCTTGGACTGACTTTTTTTTTTTTTCTGAGACAGGGTTTCTCTGTATTGTTTTGGAGCCTATCCTAGAACTCACTCTATAGACCAGACTGGTCTCAAACTCACAGAGATCTGCCTGCCTCAGCCTCCCGAGTGCTGGGATTAAAGGTGTGCGCCACCAACGCCCAGCTGGACTGACTTATAAATGATGTGAAAGGGCTGTGTGTGTGTGTGTGTGAGTGTGTGTGTGAGTGTGTGTGTGAGTGTGTGTGTGCTCGCGTGTGTGCAGCTTTCACACAACCTCACACTTTCCTCTTTACTCCTTCAATTTTGTTCGTTTCATCTGCTCCCTGGCACCCCAGTTCCTCCATGCACGTACCCAGCGCCCTCACCTCTGTAGAGACTCCCCCAGCCCCCAGGTTGTAGCTGAGCTCCCCTCGGAGGCCACGGCTAAAGCGTGGGGCAAACTCGGGGTACAGGGCGAGGCTCTCATGCAACCCAGCCAGCTGCAGACACTGTAGGACGCAGTACGTCAGCCCCTTCACGTCCGCATTGGCCTTCACTACTTGCTCGCGCTGGGGCAGCTCACAGCCAATCAGATCACCCTTCCCTGAGGAGAGAGACCAAGGTTAGCAAGCCACAAGGGGAGGGGAGGTGGCTGTAGGCTGAGCAGATGGAGGGAAGCCCAAGGGTCTGGCTGTGGTAGGACCCCCAGTGTCACTGGCACGCATGCATGCACGCACGCACGTGTGCACACACACACTGAAGAACAGTGGGACCCAGGCTCTCTCACGAACACACGAGTGCGCGCGCACGCACATACACACACACACACTGAAGAAGAACAGTGGGACCCAGGCTCTCTCACGCACACACGTGTGTGCACACACACACACACTGAAGAAGAACAGTGGGACCCAGGCTCTCAAGCACTGCCAAGGGCTGAGACCTCTGCATCTGAGTGGGATGTCATCAATACCTGTGGTTTGAAGACAGGTTGCTAATTAGACTCCCTTGGGGAAACTAAACCAATCACACTCCCAGGCTCTGGCCGGGCCTTTATTTTCACAATCTGATTTTCTTAAAG